ATGTTAGTGTATGCAGTTAAATAGCTTGACACAAGTGAAGATATGAAGAAATCTTGTGAAAGTTACTGTGTGCAGTCAAATGGCTTGACAGTCAACTGGCTTGACAGTCAAATGGCTTGACAGTCAAATGGCTTGACAGTCAAATGGCTTGACAGTCAAATGGCTTGACAGTCAAATGGCTTGACAGTCAAATGGCTTGACATAAGTGAAGATAGGAAGGAACCTTGTCAATGTTACCTGTTCGCACGCGTGCATCAAAGCAGTCATTCCATTCTTCTGACATGCATTAAGATCAGCTTTTCTTCTCAGTAATAACTCTACGACTCCATCTTGTCCGGACGCTGCTGCGAGCATGAGCAACGTCATCCCCGACGCACCATCCAGGGTATCTAGTTCCAGTTCTCCAGCCAGAGCAGCGCGCACGGTCATTTCGTCACCATCTCGGATAGCAGTCTTGACTGAAGCTAAAAATATAGAATCGCATAGGAAAAAATATTTGAAATATAACGCGCGCGCTGATTGGCTGGCTACTGTGTTTATACCAGAGGACAGACACACGCTTGCGTAAAATGGTTAAAAAATATTTTACAAAAGCACATTTTTATATTTATTAAAACACTCTGGCAGCTTCAGAGCACTCGTAAAGCGAGAGAAACTCTTGGCTACGCCTCGTGTTACTAAGCTTGCTTCTCTCGTGTTCTACAGCTCCCAGGAATATACGCGCGCGTTTTAAATTTCCAAATATAAAATATACATTTTCTTACCAAAAGGAACTTCCATGGGTTCGAAAGGAGGTGACGGGATGCACYTTACATAAATGTCATCCTGCAAAAAAAAGTAGTAAAATAATAAACCTGGGGTAGTGAAATACAAGACAAACATGAAATAATAATAATAATGATTATAATTATAATACGATAGGTTTAAGCGCATCATTTTTGCTGACGCTTGCGCCTACATTGTAGTCCTACAGCCTTTAAAGTATGTGGTGATGATAATGGTGATGATTGTGATGATGATAGTGATGATTTTGATGAGAATGAAGATGATGATGATAACGATGGTGGTGGTGATGATGGAGATGATGATGACGATCATGGTAATGATGGTGGCATAATGGTGATGATGGATGGTGATGATGATGATGATGATGGTGGTGGTGGTAATGGTGATGATGACGATGGTGGTGATGATGACGATGGTGGTGATGATGATGATTATCATGATGACGTTGATGATAATGATGGCGGTGATGACGGTGATGATGGACGGCGAAGGTGATGATGATGAAGGTGGTGGTGGTGGTGTTTTGTGCGGGTCGTATAGTGACCGGTCAAGCTAATATTGACTGTGATAATGATAGCGATCGCAGATGATGGCTATAACGTTTGATATAATGATGAAACGTGAATATGAAGATAAAATTGATGATGACGACAATGTTCATCATTTATGTACAAATAATCACAGCTACCTCTTCTTGTAACAATTTTTCTAAAGGAAAATCTTCCAACTCGAAATCAAAGTCTTCATCGTCTTCAATCATCAWGTCTTCATCCTCTCTTGCCGCCTAAATAAACGATAAACAACCTTTGCTTTTTCATACGTTGAACAATTAAACCTTGGTATCAAAACAATGAAAGATATTGACATAAAAAAGATTTCAATCCTCAAGAGAAAGGATTTTTTTGAGCCCCAAATTGGGAATGTTAGAGCAAGAGGTCTATACTGTTATACGTGATTAGCCATTACGAGGTTGCTGCAGTGCATTGTGGGACTGTTTAGGGTACTCATTTCCAAGATGGCGTCCATTTTGGCCATTCTCTACTTTCACATCCCAAATTGAAAGGTTTCTTAATTGAATTTATACTATACTTGCTTTTATCTGTACAATACTGATTATCAGTTTATTCCACGTTATTTTTGCGTGTACAGATCATCATGAGTTTTGGTCTTACAGAAAATGTATTGACTTACGAAAAAATGTTTMAAATTTACCTTAAACGTCTTCAAACTTCTATCTTTTTCTGTTTTTTACTTCATTTTATATTTGGATACCAAACAAGATATTGTCAACATTGTCTGATCAGCCTTCAGCAAAATAAGTGGGTTTTTACCCTCTGGTTACCCCCCAAAGACGCAAAGTATTATGGGAATGTGAAAGTAGAGAATAAGCATAGAAATTGAAATTGAAAAAAATAAAGAGAAATATGGAAAGAGAAAAAAACGAAAAAAAAAAGAAAATGAGAAAGAAATGGTTATGGAAACGGGAATTGATATTCATATGGAAATAGAATTAGGAAAAAAACTAGCAGAAACAGAAAAATATATAAAAATTGAAATTAAATAAAAAAACAAATATAAACATTAAAGTTTATATTTGAAGCCCAAATTGAAAATCGGTTCTGAAACCAACGAAATTTTCAAGCAACTTTTTTAGTGAATTTAATAAATGAAGTGAAAATTTCAAAACAGCCGGATCGCGTGATAATAGTAAATGGAAAACGATTACATAGAGAAAAAAAAAACAATATGAAAATAAAAAACTGAATAAATTAAAGTTCAATAATAAAAAAAGAACAATACTAAAAAAAAAATAAGAGCAGGACAAAACCTGGCGAATAAAAATCCTTGCACTAAAATCGTAATAAAATCAAAATACTTACCACAAGATCGTTAGAATTATTATTTTCTGTAGCGCAGGATTTTTTCTGGTTCTCTTCCAAGATGTTTTCTCTATTTCCTTCGCCAATAATTGCGCCTATCAAATCTCCACTGGTTAAACTCGATGAAAAATTTGCATCCAAAATCGAGCTCTTTTTACTCTGCTCTTCTCGTGTATTCTGTAGCGTAGGATTCGATTTAGCCTTCGCTGTAGTATTGCTTTCTTCGTTTTTATCCATTTTAGAATTTTTTTTCACTTTAGCCCCCTTCATTGCTTTCGAATGCTGTAAATTTAACTTCATGGACGATGACGATGCAGTCCCCTTTTCAACACCTTGGTTTGAATTTACATTATTCGCCATCGATTGCACAGGTTTTTTTCTCTTGACTCTTTTACCAGCAGCTGTGTTTTCGTGGCTTTTTTTTAACATCTTTTTAGGTTTTCTATTTTTTTGCTTGTTTTTTTCTTTGGCAGCACTGCTTTCAACTGAGCTGTGCTTTTGAAAATTCTGCACCAATGTCTCTTCTGTTCCATGATCACCTAGACAACCATGAGTGCTTGCAGTGTCGTTAATAAATGATGATTGCACATCGGACGAAGACTTTGGTTTTATTGTAGCAGAACTGTTTGTACAATTTTCAGAGTCTTCTCTCATCATATCGTCTACATCGACGAGGTTAAAGTCATCAGACGTCTTATCTTTTGTATTCATTTCACAATTCTTTTCTGCTCTTGATAGACTGTCATAACGACTTCTACGTAACTCCTCGGTGTAAGGAACGACCACTTGTGTTCTTTCTGGTGTAGCAGGTTTTATTTCTTTGTCTGTCAAGCTTTCAATATTTTGCATTTTTTCTGTCTCGTGGATTGAGTTATTTATCTCTGTGCACTTATCATCAATTTTTTCAACCCTTGACTTAACGTCGTTATCATTTCTAATGCTCTCCTTATGAATAGGTTTTATTCTGACATCAATTAATCCCAACTCATCCTTCTCGTTTTTCTTCTTTTCATCTGTTTCCCTAGATTTATTTCCTTCTTCGACACCAGCTATTCTTCCAATTTCCTTTTCACTTGTATTTTCATCTTCATTCAATTGTTTTTCACTTCCGACCAATTTTTCTTCCAAAACCAACTTATTATTTTCATTATCTGCATTCGTATTTCCTAAATTATTCTCGCTTTCAATTTTCTTGCCATTTATGCCATCATTATTCTTTTCTGTTGCCTGTTGTGTGTTTTCCGTCGTAGCCAAGTTCATCGTCGCCTCTACGTTTTTAGATTCACGCGTCTTTGCCGCGAGAAAGCGAAGATTTTTCAAAACACGTGAAGTGGTTTCCGATGTCAATACCAGTCCTTTCTTAGATGAACGCGGTTCAACAGCCGAAGTCCATTCTTTTATAGTCTCTCTTTTTTCTTCTTCGCCTTTTTCTAAAGTTGCTTCACCGATTGAATTATTTCCCTCCTCTTCAGGCCTGCGCTGTAAATGATCACCCTTTTCAAGACTGGGTGATTCATACATACAACTAATTTCATCTTTTTCGATGTCTTTCAAATTCTCATCCTTTGTTTCACTTAGAGATATTGATATCATTGCATTACTTTCGCCTTCATCGTTACACGCAGTTGCACTGTCTTCTATAGAAGCCATACGTCCATCAAAGGTAGAGTGTTCATCATCTTCAACCAACAAACGCTTCGATACATCAGAACTACACAAATTCAATCCATCTTGTTTTTCTTGTACATCATCATCTTCAGGCAACATTTTCTCGACAGCACGTCTCTCATCACTATGAGACATCGTTTTTGAAGTCTTAGCCTTAGATAGATCAGGAGAGGACGAACAAGAAACATCCGAAGATTCTCGATTTTTGATACAAGCCATCTCAGTACCCTCACCTTGTTCCGCATCTATGTGCTTTTGGTATTTATCCCTTGCTATTTTATGCATAATGCCTTTCAACTCCGTTATTGTAGGGCATACGTTATCAACCATTGAGCTTTCGTTAGATCTATCCCCTTTAATTAGTGCCCTCTTTGCTTTGGGCTCACTAATTTCTAGAAATTCTGAGTCACTTTTTTCTAGGATTTTCTCCGAGTTTTCGAGTTCTAACATTCTTTCTTTTAGCGTTTGTAGCTGAGTTTTTCCTTTTATTTTGACCAAACTTTCATCATCGGAAGAATTATCATGGTTTTTAATTTTCGCGCCAAAATTTAGAGCCTCTTCTTCAGTTTTCGGAGACTCAGAAGATGAGCTTTCCTTTTTGTTCAAACTTCTTTTTCTATTCTTTTTCAGTGAGAGTTCAAAACGGTTTTTTCTTCTAACAGGGGTTCCAAATATACTTTGGTCTTCATCGTTTTCTTTTATAAAACCAGGACTTTGTTCTGACGAGGTATCAAAGGCTTTTTTAGTGTCTTGAGCTCCATTTGATTGGGAAAACTTAGTAGGCGTACTTTCGGGAGTCTCGAGGGATTCCCGCCGAATGACAGGACTGCAGTCACTTGATACATCTAGTGGCGACTGAAGGACGCGAGGGGACTGGGTCCGACTTCCAGTTACCTCACTATTATTGTCCTCAGAATCACTCAGAAGCGAAATAATTTCGATGTTATTAGTTTTTCCGCTGTTAGATTTTATGTTTTTATCCAACGTCTCTAGAGGTGAGGACTCAAGATCGCTTTGGTTTAACGATTCGTGCGAAGAAATATGAATGACGTCAGTAGAGTTACTTTCATTGGTGCTTTCAGTACTTCGATTTAAAATGTCATCTCCGGTCTCAGAAGACTTTACGTCTGAACTCTGACTGAAAACGTCGTTGTCAGACGCGGTGATGTCACTTCCGGTTTGAGAAGACAAGAGAGTTGATTTGCTAGATGATTGATTTGATACGTCACTTTCCATGAGTGCGACGTCACTTCCTGCCTGAGATGACGACTCGGAGCATGTCTTGGTCTTTCGGGTTTGGATCATGCACATTGCTAGTTCTTTGCTTGCTTGTCTTGTTAGTCCCAGAGGTTCAATATCCCCAAAAAATGCTGTAGCCTTGTTCTCGCGTGAGGTGCTGGCTGTGTCTTGATCTTCTCCTTCTGACATCAAACGGTCACGTCGTAACTGCAATAAGGAATGGAAAGATTTCAGTGAATGACACGATTGAATGATAATTTGCAGAGCAGAGCAGAGCAGAGCAGAGCAGAGTTTCTATGTCAAAGGATTTGTTCCTACGACCAAGAAGGGATAGAAGTAGAAATCATCTAGCACTCAGCTGGGTAATTCTTTAGCTAAAACCAAGAAAGTTAATAGATTATCTTCCAGGGGAGTCAAGATGGCGTGGTTCAAGGGCAGACCATGAATTTTGTTTTGGGAGGTGTGCAGAACCAAAAAAAAGGGAATGCAACTTTTAACTGTGTTACATTGAAACTGGTCACAGGTATTTGACAACAAAATGTTACCATGTGAAAGGGCACTTTGCAGGCTTCAGTAGGGGTTCACAGCCCCCTGGGTCTACCCCTGTGGTGATAAAATGAAAGCAAGCTGAATTGATTGGTTGTATTTTTCTGAAGAATTTTAACGTTTTCTTTTTTCCTCCCTCATCTAAAACCAACCCTCACTAACTTAAACGAAAAGATATAACTAGCTAAAAACTAGTGTGAGCTGCGTCGGTGTTTCTAATGAAACAGTAATGATGAAAAGGTAAATTATACACCGTGAAAAGATGAAAA